GTGTGAGGGCAGGGAGCAGCGCAGCCCTCAGCTGTCCAGCTGCTGGGAAATTCGGCAGTCCTCAGCCAGGATATTCCCCCAAAACCCTGTCCTTCCCTAAACCAGTCACTGTCAGATGCATTTCTGCATTTTTCTGCTCCTTTTTTTTTTAAAAACCTTTTCCAGGCAATACATGTTCAGTCCTATATATACAACAATATGTTCATTTCTAGCTTGCGTCTTTACCAACCTCAACCAGGCTGCTATACTCCTGTAGTTGATTTGATAGTAACAAGGCCTTACAAAAAACATACCTGATAGAAGAATATGTGACTAATGATTCTATAGAAATGTACTGATTTGTATTAAGTACCATACAGAAGAGTTAATTGAAGGGAGCAAGCTACAAACCTCAGGGCTGTTTGTTAACGTTTAAAAGAGGTCTATGGTCCTTTATTATAAAGCGTTTGGAAATTCGTATTTTGAGGCATGGTGATAGTTACCTTTTGCTCCTGGAATAGGCAAAATGCTTTGTTTGGACCATTTACAGCTCCGAGTGTGCTGTTGGCACTCACCAGATAACTATTATTATTAAAAATGCACAGATGTATTGGCAATTGCTTTTAGGTAGTGAGGCCAGCTGGAAAGAGTATGAAAGAACTTATTAAAGATAGATATTCCAGGGCGAGTTAGATGAAAAAGAAGAGAAATTATGGTTTATCTGTGTAATTAAAGGTACACTCAGCAGATGGAAATGAGCAAAAGCAAACTTAAGTGTATGCAAAATCTGTCAAGGAAAACCACTTCAGCTCTCTAAGAGATAAAAGAGAAACAATAAAGCTATATTTTTACCTTCCTTTTGTCCCTTAAATGCCCATCTGTAAATGCAAATGTGCAGGTGTGTTTGTGCTATTTATATTAAAAGAAGATTAAGGTTGTAAGGACAAATGCCTTGAAACTAGGACACATCCGAATCACCATTGCTTGTGCAGTCTTCCTGTTGGCCAGCAGCCTGTCCCTGCCACGTTCCCGTGGGAGCGGGTTTTATCGGAAGCGCAGGCGGGTTGGGTCCCGGGGCACTCTGTGCTCTGCTCAGTGCCTGCAAGGACAACTGCTGCTTCATTCCTCACACTCGAAACTAGAATCCATGTATCCTGTTTTTATCCAAGATGGGTACCCCATTTAAATCCTTCTTGCTTGTTTTTCAGTCTCCTGCCTAGCCAGCTCAGTCTTAATGAAGCTGCATTATTGGTGTCTCTCTGATTTCCACTTGTCGACTGTGATGGCTTTAATTGGGTTGCATTTTCAGCTGTTTTTCAACTCACTGGGAAGGATAATTAAAATAAAATCTTGTTCTCTGTGCTCCTCTCTATCAGTCATAGCTACGTCAGCTGAGTCCTTTAATATGAGGAATGGCAAAGGCAGGATTTACTCTCTGTTAAATTGGCCTGAATGAAGAGGAAACATATCTGGACCTTCTGGCTCATGGACATTAACAGCCCACAAGCTTGTTAAGTTTGGGCCAGATTTAGCTCCTTCATCCCTTGTTCCCGTTCTGTAAAGAGAGGCTACGGGCAGGAAACTGGCAATGAGCTGGAGGGGTAAATTCAAGATAACCACAGCGTAGACTGCAAGTCTTGTATAAATCCTTCAGATTTCTACAGTTAATATAGTAAACCTCACTGCCTTCTGTCAACCAAGCAAGGAGTTTTACGTGATAGTGCAGTATATGAGCGCTTGAGATTCTTCAGGTTGTTTTAAGGTTTGTGGATGACTTAGATCTTACTGGAGGGGCAGAGGAAGGAAGGTGAAGTAACACATTTCTTGACATTTAAAGAGTTAAAAATATGTGTGTTTAACTAGAGGATGTTCTGATTTGTTCAGTCTCAAAACCAAGCAAGCTGAAAAAAAATATACATTGCAATAATGCAGTTAACCACCAGAATTTTCAGCTCAGTGCTAATATTAGTGTGTTTGTTATCTTTTAGGCAAATGTGAAATTCTGACCAGAGGAAGTTGGATCACTGATTAGTAAAGGCTTTTGTAATTAGTATTTATAGCCCTCCTATGAGCTTCACTGTCAGAGGCCACTGGAGCTGTTCTCGTATTGTAAACCTTTCATCACCACAGTGGAAAGCAGACTTCTGCCTTGCTGGGAGCTTTTAATAAGCAAATGTCTGTGTTTGCTAACAGTCTGCAAGGGAACAAAAACCAATACTGAGGATGTGTGAACAGGAGAGCCCTCTTTGCCCACGTAGGCCGTGAGAGATGAGTTTAGCATCCTGCGGCTTGGCGCTGGCGAGCGTGCTTACGGATGGCACTGCAGCGCTTGGCATTGCAGCAGCGTGCTCATGGAGAATAACAGGAAACCCTGGGAACGAGCTGGGCGCGCACCATTTCTCGTTCTGATTGCCTATTAAATGGCAATTAGTGGAGTAAATGCCTCAGATGTGGCTCCTCTCTTCCTAACTACTTTTTTGGGGGTTTGTAATTGCTCGGGGCAGCGTGCATGTGTCTCGCACTTAACTACTCTCCCCGTTGTTAGCCTCAATCAGCTCTAGGGTGTGCATAGCTTGAAGCCAGCCAAGTGTCGGTCACCCTCAGGAACTGCTTTTCACTTCCTCTCTTTCCTCTACCTCAGAGATCCAAAATAGCCGTCTACGAGAAGATGTGGTCGTACATGAAGTCAGCGGAGCCCTCCGTGTTCACCAAGACCACAGCGGACGGGGTGGCGCGGGTGCGCAAGTCCAAGGGGAAGTTTGCCTTCCTGCTGGAGTCCACCATGAACGAGTACATCGAGCAGCGGAAGCCTTGCGACACCATGAAAGTGGGCGGCAACCTCGACTCCAAGGGCTACGGCGTCGCGACGCCAAAAGGCTCGGCATTAAGGTGGGTGGAATAATATAACAATATCCATGTTGTTATAGTATTCCACCTACCCTGATGTATTGTGTTGTCATTTTCTTTCTTGTGGATTTTGAGGTAACTTTTAAAGTTTAAAATCTTCAATATTCCATGGAGTTAAATAAGACGGTAAATTATGGTTTCATTTATTTAATGCATCCATTTTTTTAGTGTTCTCTTAGTGTTGTCCTTTCTGATTGTTTGTTGCTGTTTTAATTTTACAGTTCAATGGCTTTTTCAATCTAAATGGTAAAAGCCGAGTTAACCTGCCATATGTGACGAATGTTAACTGCATGATGTGGTGTTCTTGTTACTTTTTTTCTCAAAGACGATTTCCCCATCCCGCACACTTCAGTTTTGAGCAGATGTTATCCTCCATGCCACCTTCCAATATTTAACCCTGTATTTGCTGTACAGACATTTTTATAGCTCCACGTTCTGTGAAATTTTAGCCAATTTGTCCTCTTGTGCTCCTTTTTTTATACGTTACGATTTCCTAAGCATTTGTGCATTTTTCTTACAAGTTATGTTTTATCGTTTCAAGAAATGCTGTTAACCTGGCAGTATTAAAACTGAATGAGCAAGGCCTCTTGGACAAATTGAAAAACAAATGGTGGTACGACAAAGGAGAGTGCGGCAGCGGGGGAGGTGACTCCAAGGTCAGCCTCAATGTCACCACAATCGGGTACCTTAGCAAAGAGTAATCGGCAAGGCTGTTATTTTACTTGTCAAGGAAAAAAAAAATGCAGATTCAAACCATTTGAATAATTGTGGTGGGGGAAAAAAAAAAGCCATTTGCTTGCCCGGTAGCTCTTTGAAAGAAAGTTGTCTTTGCTTCAACAGCTTTGGTCAAGCTTGGAAACCTTATTTAACTAACAGATAGAAACTCCAATATTGGCAGGAATCGTGCAGAGGGAATCAGTGTGTGTGAGTGGACGGGAACCCAGGGAACCCTTGAGCAGTTTGGAGGGGCCTTCCTCAAGGTGCAGCAACACAGACCTGACGGCAAGAATCATAGAGCGATTGAGGTTGGGAGGGACCTTTGGAGATCACCTAGTCCAACCACCCTGCACAAGCAGGGCCACCTAGGGCAGGGAGAAGGCTCCTTCTCCTTTCCTCCCTTGAGGATGGGTCAAGGAGGCTGCTTAATCTTGGTGCAGCTTGGGTTCAAGAGAGAAAGGGTAGAGCAGTGATCTTAGTAAGGATATAATTGCTGGACAGGGATGGGCAGTCAACTGCTGATGGTAAAATAATAGTAAAAACAATAAATGTGGAGCTAGAGATTGCAGCTGAAATGGGAGATATGTTGTTCACAGCTGTGACATGAATGCTGTGCTAGAGTGGAAATTAAGCTGAAGGAAAGAGCTTTTGGTAAATCCTGCCTGGAACGTTCTATCACCTTTTGGACCACACTGGTCAGATTTCTGTACACATCTGTGCAGGAACACTGGGTTTGAGTGTGCTGGGCTTTTCAAGCAGATGTTATTTAAAATCCCAGCCTCCCCGATGCCAATAGCAAAACTTTCATTGCTATCTAGTGAGCTATGGTTTCCCCCAGTATCCTTAGCAGCCTGTATGTTAATGAAGCACTCTAAGTTGATTTAATTGGCTCATATATTGCAAAAGTTAACTACTGTGCTTTAATATTGCCAAAACTTACCTTATAAAACTGGCAATTTCTGTAGCATTTAACTAGGCAAAGAGAAGCTGTAGATAGAATAGGCTGAATATTGTTTGTCACCTTGGGTACAGGAACTACCGAGAAAATTAATTTAAAATACATTGTTATCGTGAAAAGGACCAAGATTAATTTTCATAGTGACATTCTCTAGTAAAACCAGTTCCTTAAGGAACAATAACTTCTAATCTGTGTTATAAAAATGCTTCAGCTTTGGTCCAAAATCAATAATAACACTATTTTCAGTAAACTGCAGTTTTGGACAATTACTGCAAATTACTGCTGTATTTTATTAATAAGAGTTGATTACAGCTGGCTAGTTTGGAAATTACTCTGTTACTCATCCCTGGTATTAGCAAAAAGGCCCATAAAAGGAAGGGACCTCAAATACAGGTTTATTTAATAATTGGAGTTCTGCAGTGCTCAGCAGCAGCTCAGAGAAGAGTGTGAGTTTTTTTATGCTTCTTAGCTCTGCTGCTCATCCCTCATGCAACACTTTTGTGTAATGTTATACTTGCCAGTATATTAAATGTTTAATATTCTCCTGGGATCCAGGAGAATACAGTGGTATTGCCTAATACTGCCTCCATAAAAGAAAACTCTCTGTACAAAGCAGCTTCAATGAACTGCATTGCTTCAAGTTCATTGCATTAATCGCAGTGAACTAATGCTCACAGCCCTAAGGAAGCTAGCAAGGGTTTTAAAAATGGTCGCAGTTGGGGCAGGGTCATCCTTCTATTTTTGCTTCTGCTGAAGGACCTTTTAAAAAGACTGCTATCTCTATTAATAAGTAGTCAGCCCTGTTCAGTAGATGTTGAGGGCAGAGGCAGGTGTGCCATGATGAACTACCCAGAGAAGAGGGAAGAACAAATTTGGTGACGCTTGTTTCACTATTTTAATCTAAATCACAAACCTCCGTCCTTCCGCAGTCTGTTGTAGCCCGCTGTGATAAAGGACGGCTTGTTTGCTCCAGCTCTGAACGTCAGTTATCAGGGGGTTATTGCTCAGGCAGCATGAGCCACTGGGGAGCAGAATGTGGGTCACAGAAGGAGCTTCCTTAGGGGGAGAAAAATCTGCAGAAGCCTAAAGGAAAGGAAGGAGGGGGAAGGGGCTAGTTGGTATTTCTGGAGATGTCATAAATCAAAGAAGGTTTTATTATAAAATTACTCGTCATCCGAGGTAGCAGAAGTAGGCTCAATTCCACGGCATTGGCATAGGAAGAGGGATGTTTGCCGGGCAGTGGCCGCCGCTCGTGTCAGCCAGGAGAGCAGAGCTCGGGCTGCTGCCGCCCTGCGCTGCCCGCCCCTGCTTCCTCCTCCTCCTCCCACCCGAAGCCTCGGTGCCCTGCATAATCTCAGCCCACTCACATCTCTGCGCTTAACTGTTTATACCAATATGGCTTTATTTATAGAGTATTTCAGAGGAGACACTTTAAAAATGTTCTTTTTTTCCCCTCTTCCTTAAGGAGATGGTATTTAGGGAAAACCGAGCCCATAGCCCAGAAGGGCACGATGCAGAACGCGTGCGGAGGTGGCCTGTTACGTGCTCTGGGTAGTGCTCTCTACCGGCTGAGCTGACAGAGCAGCTCTCAGCTTAGCCAGTAGAGCCCGGCCCTGCGAGGCAGCTGCCCCGAGTTCGGAATGAGCCCGTCCTGCTCCCTGCGCAGAGGAGCCGCGTGCAGGCCGACGGGGCCAGCGTCCTGAGCTGCACCTCTCTGTGGGATCTGTCGCCTAGCTTGCCTGGAGAACCCGGGGTGAGTATGTGACCTGTCTGCCTGTGCCCATCGCTGCGCCGTGACGGACCAGCGGCGCCAAAAACCCTGTCCCCTGCTCGTCCTCCCTGCCGGTCAGCACGGGTGCCCCCGTGTTTGGGACGCAGTGATTCAGAGGCACGATGCCATGATCCCTGGTGTGTTCAATGCCATTGGAAAACCGTTCAGGGACTTGGGGTGTTACAAGGACTTTGAGTCCTTGTCAAGGGCAAAGAAAAGGTATTAATTTGACTTGCTGTAGGATTGCTCCATCTAGTCTGTTCCTATAGGCAAACTGTGCGTTTATCATATGCACATCCCAAACTCGTATGGGCCAGTTGTAATTTAAGACTAAAGAGATTGTACTATCATTACAAAGTTAGTTGAAGAGAGCTCCGCTGGCATACATTGTATTTTCCTTAATGTCAGCACATGCCAGCTCTAGGATGTCCCCAGGCGTAACACTGAGTCCCTCAACGTCTTGCTGTGGTCAGCGCTGCGAGGGGGAAGGCAGTGCCCATTTTTCAGTTGCAGTCTTTATTGGAGAAGACTGAAGGGGGCCTTGCTGGAGCCATACATAATTCCCCTGTGTGATATATGGAAGCTGACTTAAATGTTGCTGGCATCCTGGTCCGCACATCAGAATGTGTTCACTTAGCCCTCTTAAATGAGCATGGACTTGGTTTCATCTCCATTGGATTAATGGCAAAAATCAGGTAACACAGGTGTTAACAGAACATAACTACATACTCCTGAAAATAATTACAGTGTTTTACTCATTTGAAAACTAAGTATTTTGTTTATAGCACAATCGTATCATCTCAGAGCTGAGCGGTGGCTAAATAGCAGTTTAAAAAGAAGCTGACAAAATGCCACCTCGATGGAGGTAGCAGGAAGAGTGACTTGTGTGAAACTATTTAGTTGCATAGGAACAGATCTCTGCTAAGATAAATTTCTAAGGTTGTGCTGCTCCTATGTTTCTTGTATTCTCGTACCTTCATGGTAGCATGTAATGACAAATAACGTAAAATTGTTCAATTGTTCAAATTTGGCATATAGCCATGTTCATGTGCCAACTGTCCGTATTAATTATTTGACTTAATTTCTCTAATATATTATCCTCTAGGCTGATATCTCTTTCAGAATACACCTGCGAAGTGATGCTTGATGTAAAACTACTTAATTTTTCAGTTGTTTCTTTTTAATCAGAGAATTATTTTTCCAGAGTACTAGTTAAATTGTGCCCTCAGAGCCATCCTTCATAAAGCATCAGATTCGCGAGCCCTTCTGAGATGTGAACATGGCCATTAGCAGATGGGATTTGCTCCCCCATTTCTCTCTGCTATTTTGCTTTGACATATTTGCAGCACAGCAGCTAGCATTTGCAGCATAATTTTTAAGTGGCATATTTTTAGAAGAAATCTGTTACACATTATTTTAGATGATACCTGACATCTAAAGAGCACCACTGCCAAGCATGCTATGCTTTAAAGAGAACATTTGGGGAAATGACTATCTTAAAAACATGCAACACAATTTATTTGAGCAATTTGTTTG